AAATGTAGTTCATCATACTAATGTTGTTTATCAAACAAATACTGTTTATCAAACAATTGATAATACAGATTATAAAAGAATTCATGAATTGGAAAATCAGTTATCTGAAATGACAAAAAATAGAAACGAATGGAAAGCAAATTCTGAAGAATGGAAAAAACATGCTAATGAAATAGAAGAACAATTAAAAGAATGTGAAAAACATAAAAAAGAAGTAGAAAATAAAATTAACGAAATTATAACAACTCATCTCAACATAAATATAACTGAAGCTGAAAAATTAACCACTATTGGAAAATTAGATACAATCCTAAACACCATAAAACAAGAAGTAAAAGAATGTTTAAGATTGCTTGGAATCTTTTTTCAAACCGGGGATAGTTTGATGTCTATACTTAAAAAATTGGTAAAAGCTTGTGAAGAAATTGGAATAACCGGTCCTGTTCAAGAGATATTATTAAGATATCTAAAAATGTTGGATCCTAAAACTAAAATAAATGATCCTAAATCGTTTAATGGAAAATTAGGATATAGAAGTATGGATGCTTTGGTGAAAGCTTGTTATGAAAACAGTAGAGATATTTTAAACAAAGAACGATTTGAAAATAGACCTGAGATTAGTTTTGTAAGAAAATTAATGAGATGCCATTACTACATAGTTGGGAAAAGCAACCTATTGAGTGTGAAAACGATAGCTAATAATTTATTTAAAGTAACTGATCTAGAAAGTGAAAAAATGTTTAATAGAAAAATATGGAAAAATATTATTAAAAAAGAATATGACTCGTTTCCTACTTTTAATCCTAAACATAACTATATTAATGTATTATTAAAAGATGCAGGTTACAATAGGTAGAGTAACCCTAAATATGATGAGATTTTTCTTTACAAATTACACTATTGTTATTGGCTTTTAAATGATTCAAAAGAAAAGGTATAGATGATATGAGTGTTGACGATTTATTTGAACCAATTTACCTTACTTATCTTCGAAATAAACAAAATGGAATGCCAGGTATTTTTTTTTTTTTTTAGTTTTATTCATTTCTTTTGTTTTAATTACATTTATCATTTAGATTATCAAGAAAAATATACAACTCCCGAAGAAATTCAAAGAATTGTTTTATTAAAGAATAAAAAATAAATATTTTCAATTAGTTTATATTAGTTATAGTATTTTATATATATACAATTTATTTATATTATTACTTTAAACATATTTTTATAAATAAACAATTTATTCAATTATTTTCCAACAAAA